TACGACATAGATAATACACTGAATAGTATCGTCTTCACTATTACTCAATGATTACGATATTGCAATATCGTAATCGTAACAATTTGCAAATTTTTACAATAATAATCCCAAACAACATCACATAGTGTACATAATTTCTTAAAGAAAAATGTTCCAGAAGTAGTTAATGGCCATCCTTAATCCTAAATCCTATTGAAAATGAATGGCCTATTGTTCAACATAGCATAGAAAGGCATATGCTTAAAAATATTGAAAGTTAAAGCACTAGTAGAGAAGTGGAAAATATTCTACATGGTTTTCTAATTTATTTATCAAATTCTACACTACCCTCGGGAAAGTATTTGGTCAACAAAAGAAATATTTTATTTATTTAATTTTTAACACAACATGACATTTAATATTCTGTAGGCCATCCTTGATTCCTAATGCATGCTTCAATTCTATGTGGCATGCTTTCAATAAGTTTAATATAAGTTTCAGGTGGAATTTTTCTCCATTCTTCTTGTAGTACTTTTTCAAGTTCTTTTAGCAATTGATCCATGACTGAAATTAGCATGTCGGGCAATTGTATACGTAACAGTGCTTTTTGAAACTTTTAGAATACGAGCTATATAGCTTCATGGGACTTTCCAGCCATTTGTAAACCAATAATTTGTCCACGTATTTAATTCACGATCTTTTCCCATGTCGAATGCAATCAAATTGTTTACAAATTATGTTTACGCTTTTGTTTATCAAAATTTATCTATACATCGTAGCACAAATACAAACATACAGTATGTTCATAATCGCCAAAACCAGGAGATTCATTTAAAAAATTTCTTTTGCCTAGTTAATATGTTCAATCTTGAAATTTTTAAAAAATGCTTGACCAAATACTTTTCCGAGGGTAGTGTATGTAAAGGACTTATTCAAAATAGGGTTGATGTAACATGTTTTTTTGCACATCTTTGAGAACTGGCTAATAACAAGGAATTGTTGTTTTCTTTTGTTCATACCGTATCTATAGTAATATTACTGTATGTACACCCCCATGCCAAAAGTACAAGATTTTACTAGTAAAACATATGAAAAATCGAAGTCACGAATTTTCCATATTTTCTCAAACAAGTACCAATAAACTTTACACATTTTAAAGCTAAATAATTGTGGTGTTGAGGAGGATATGAAAGCTTAATTACTAGTAAATGATCGACGTAAATAGTATTTATACCTTTGGCAGTCGGTATATTAATCGTTAAGATTTTAAAATTGCTGGTGTCTGAATTAAAAATACATTTATCTATATACTGTATATATTAAAAAATTGGATTTCTGCACGTAGACGGACATTGCATAGAAGATTTTTCTGGATTCGAATTTTACCTATCGATAATAATAAGGCACGTAATTTATTTGCCGACTCCAGTATTTTCTCATGGCCAATTTTATGTTGCTTGCTCTAGGACTACGTCTAGACAAAGCCTTAAGATTCTAATAACAGGAGGCGTTACAAAAGATGTAGACTTTTTACGTATGGTTATAGTGCTTAAATAATTTATTTCCGTCGTTATGCTCTGTAAATTACGCATTATTGACGGTTACACACGGCGGGTTGGTACTTGTTTAAAAAATGGAGAATTAGTGACTTGAAATTTTCGATTTTTATATGCTTTACTAGTAAAATCTTATATCGTATTTTAATTTATACTTTTGGCAGGGGGGTGTACACTACCTAAACCTACTCAAAAGTCACTGACCACCCCTCAATTTTTTCTTTAATTGCGCATAACAATAACTTCGTAATAAACAATTCAAATGCCATACAATCTTAACTGTAGTTTGCACTTCTTCTGCACACAAATCTTGCAAATTTTCATTATACATTAATAAGTAAACTGTCAAGACTGCTAATACCCAGTTTCACATAACTGAAAATAGAGAAATTAAGTGTTATTACTATTACTATTACTATTACTATTACTATTACTATTACTATTACTAGTACCAGTGCTTATTAAACCAAGGGTTATTATTATATGTATATGAAAAATAGTGAAAATGTAAATGGTGGTCCCACTGAATATAAACAAGCAATTCGTTTTTGAAAAGAGGCTGTAGTTGTGGCTGCTCAACTAAAGTTCAAAAGAAAACTTTGCTGAATTGCATGAAGCCTCCAAGCAAGAACAAGATATTTTGCTGGCTCAATTAAAAACAATGGATAGCTATACATTAATTTATAATAAACAATTTTATTGTGCTTCTTTAATAGTGTGACTCATGAATACTACTATCCATAAACTCCACACATTACTACTACTACCACACCTTATCTTCAACCAGAGATCAACTTATAACACCACAGAACCCAGGTTCTCTGGCCTCAAAACCTTTAAGGCAATTGAAGCCAAGCAACCAGAGACTATACTAATACCACTCCTTCCAATAAGTACAACTTTATTGCTGAACTACATATACATGTTAAAGCTCATTTTAACTCTATAATACCACTCCTTCCAACACTATCTGAGCTGAGAACCATCCTCCTCTCCTCTACCCCTTCTTCAATATCTCTCTACCAATACACCACACATGCCATCTTCTCTTGGAAAGAGGTCTTCCATAAATATAACAATAATACCATATTATTACTGCTCCTCATCTCTTCCTTTTTCCCTAACTTCAATCTGTAATGGCCTACATCTTAGTCTCTCACAAATGCAATAATAATAATAAAGGCTTAATTGTTAATTAATTTATTGAAACAAGAAATTTCAATTAATAATAATAAAGACAGACCCTCTGATGGAAATTATTCACCTTCACCTGCCTGTTGGGACCTGTGTCCACAAATACGCTCCAGAAGGTGCACATTACCCTGGTGTGAAATACTATCATCACCATCCCTCACCCTTTTGAGTCTTGCCCAATGGCACAACATGTCTGGCAGAAAGCAGAGGAATGTGTTGCTTTCTTAACACCTTAACCCAATCAAACTCCTCATCATTCATCCATCTAGAAAACACCAACAAACTGGAGGCTTATTATTATCCAGTCAGCAGCTTTATACACTGTCTGGAAAACATACTAATACACCCATCATGTCTTTGGTGGAAAACCTGCCCCCTCATACCAGAAAATTAGCCAAACCCTTTCTACCATTATCCTCTCTTTTTGCTCAACCTCTATTACTATGGCATCTCTTGCAAGAAAGAGCCCCCCCTGGTACCTGGCTGCCTGTCAAGTCTATCATAGACATGGTCAGGCTCTAATCAACAACGTATTTTACAAAAAAATAAAATCAATTGGATCAGATGATTTTTTACTGGTTATCCAATTAGAATGGGATAATATTGATAAATCTATTCTATCGAATTTATGTTCTGGAATGAAAGAGTGTTAGAGACTGTAATGGAAAAGGGGGGACTTATGATTGACCACTAAAATTTTATTTTTATAAATTTATATTATTACTTAGGGTTCCCTATTACTTATTATTATGTGCGGATACAATTTTGCGTGAAATGAATACAAATTGGTTGAGTAACTATCTAGGATTGGTGTGAATAGTAAGCTTGTCACTGTATTTAACTAAAAGTAGAAGTAGATTGCTCTCCCGCGATTGTTGACTCGACACAAGCCAAAGTGTTGAATTTCTTTGCTAATGGATAAAGTTCAAAGGAGTTGCGATTCAAAGTAAAACAATGAGAATAAACCAATTATTATTTTTGTTTTAAGTGTTATTGATACATGTTACAACTAGACCTGTTGCTATTGGGAAGTTTTCCCTAGTCCAATAGGGCGAAAGTTACAGTATTTATGATCAACACAAAAAATTTTTCAATGTAGCACCATATGATCGTCTTTATGCTTAAAAGGAAGGTATCGTCGCTCGCTGCCAGTGAAAATACGACAAAATGCACAAAAATAGAATGATATAAAAAGTCGAGCACTTGCGGTAAATTTGCTTTCCCTCTCGAAAACAACCCATAGCGACATGGCACCGGTGGTAAGTTCTAAACAAGTATACTTGTTGAGAGTTTGTATCTGATGGATAACTAACTCATTATAGCAGAAGAACGCAAAGACTAAGAAGGTGGCCATCAAATATGTCATTGATGCCTCTGGACCAGCAGGGGACAAGATTTTTGATGATGCAGTGTTTGTGAGTGTTGAGTAGTATTATTACATAGTCTCAATCTCCGTTGATTTTGATTAACAGTCGATATGTATTTTTGAATTGCTGTGGTGCTTGAGGATATTGATTAATTTGGTGGTTCGGCTATTTAGGAGAAATTCTTGCATGATCGTATCAAAGTCAATGGCCGCACAGGACAATTGGGTGACAATGTCACTATAAGTCGTGGGACTGATCATAAGATTACTGTCACCGCAAATAGTCAACTCTTTGCTAAACGATATTTAAAGTATTTGACAAAGAAATTCATGAAGAAGCACAATATTAGAGACTGGTTGCGTGTTGTTGCTACGGACAAGGTATTAAGAGAGATATCTTTCTGATTCGTGTCTGTGATACTGTTTGATTATGTATACTAAGCCAGCATATTTCAATTTAATGTAGCATACATATGAAATAAGATATTTCAATATTACTAACCAAGAGGAAGAGGAGGAGGAGGAGGAATAATGTGAACGACTTTGTCAATAAAGACTTCTTAACCACATTCATTCATGGTAAATTTTGTTTCGAACAGACAATAATTCTTTCTAATTGTAAACAGTCAGTCTCATTTAATTTGCTATTCCAATGACGGGCATATTTATTAACGTGGCCAATGATATCTACTGGACATCTCTAAGTGAAACTTCTGCTTGTTATTCCTCCCATGAGGATGCACTTTCAATTATTTGTCGTTACTAATATCACAGTCCTGTTGTATTACTCAGAGCAACACTGCAATCCCAGAAACAAGAAGACTATATCAATTTTCAATTAAATACAAAACGATAGCTGAATACTAGTAGTAAGTAGTATTTTCTATGCAATCAGTGTCTTCCCTAGGTTACATAACGACACCCCTGCCGAAGAGCGAGCGGAGAACCAATAGACATTTATTAAATATTACAAAGTTACCTCAAAAAGGCATCGCACTCACCCAAATGATTAATGTCGTCGAGATCTATTTGATCCAGCCGTCGGAGATCGAGACCTTCTACGTCCGCCATGTCCACTTCCACGTTTGTCTGGTGAGCGAGAACGAGAACGGCGGTCGTAGGAACGACGATCACTTTTGGACACAAGAAAATAATATCACAAAATAGAATTTAGTATTGGTAGTGATAGCAAAAAAGATCCAACGCATACAGCTTCGCGCTTGACCGCATGATTCTATTGATTCAACTTACTATTCATGTCGTCCTCTTTCACGATGTCTATCACGATCAAAACGATCGCGATCTCTATCTCTATCATCGTACCCGCGAGCCCCTGAGCCTACATTTCTATCTTTATTTTTCTCTCTGAGTTCTCTTAACAATTCACGAATGCGAAGATATCCGATATGCATCTATGTATTAAGCATTAGTATAACGACTAGCGTCATATTTATCCGTAGAATCTCTTCTGATTGATTAATCTCACCTTTCCGCCAAAGTGATCAGCTAGACTAAACACATGACATTATTTAAAAATGTTATTTTTTGCCCAAGTTGTTATACATCTCATCAGACAGATCATCAAAAGCTCTTACCGTCGATCAGAGTCATAGATAGACAAATAAGCACTGCAGACCTCACAAACGCGTAATTTTTGTTGTTGAGATGGTCCACCACCCTCCGTGGAATTCTTAAGTTCTTTCTGCAAATAAAATCAAAATAAACCCACCCTTATTATGACCATAGTCAATCGGACAACTTCGATTATACCTCTTTTTCAGTCTTCTGAGCCTTTTTTTCTTCGACATCTGCCAATAATTTCATAGAGTCGGAGACTTTTCCTTCTTCACCTAAGGTGTGAAAACAAAAACCTTAGTTTATACTCAAAGGTATCATCGTAGGATAAATTCGGTATCATAATTTACCGAGTATTTCTACTTCCTTGGTCATTTCTGCAATCTCCATCTCTAAATCACGAATCTCTTCAAGCTATGTATTTTTTTTTCCAAAGACATTACTACATACTCTCGTAGACGACGAAAAAAAACAACCCGTATGCACAGATGTTCAGCTTACCAATTTAGTAGTTTTTACACTGTCTTCTGGAGTCTTATCCAAGCGTCTCTGCGCACTTAAGATCTTACGATCACAATCGGCAACGAACTGAGCCAAGCTGCGTTCGAATTCAAGATCATAATTATGCTGATTGGGATTGCGTTTGCGAGCTTCCTCGTATTCTGACTTTAGTCGTTGAGAATGTAACTTAGGACATGGACCAAGGTCCATTTTCTTATTTAATGGAAGCAGACGCGAGAATGGTTTCAGACAAATTGATTATTTACATCGATAGTAAGAAGAGCATTCGATCTCAATATGAACCTACCGTGTTGCTGTAAGATCAAATAAAGAGCCGATCGGCAAACAAAGAACGTCAAAAAGAGCAGGTAAAGTACTCTCTACCACCTTCGAGGTACCTTTGCAAGTAACTTACGTGAACAGATCGTGTGGGCATAACCCACAAAGACAATTTCTGCACACGTTTGAATCCCAAAAATTCACGGTGTCGGGTACGCCACCCAGAGCTTCTGTCCCCATAAGTGCCTAATATCAAATGTAAATTTTAAAGCTTCGGCGATCACAAAAAAAAGACGTTCAAGAAGCTAATTATATTTCTCTTAACCTCAAGTGCTTTTCTTTGTTCCGCGGCCATTATTACTTTCTAGCTAAAGAATTAGTGTGTAAAGTATATATGCTATGTCTTGTAAGTAGGGGGATTTCGCGAGTAGACAGGGCTAGTAAATGTGCTGTTTTCGTCGGTACATGTATATTATACTGCTATGGTCGGAAGATCACGTTTATTGAGCAGGTCCAGTCCAAAATCAATTCGTTTCTATTGGAAGAAAAACTTTTTCTGTGCTACCCAATTCCCACATTCTGTGCATCTGCTATATAAACACCCGAGGTTCTTTTGACTTGTCGTTAACGACTGTACTTTACAGGATCTGTACATAGTACGTCACCCGTCTTTGTTTTCCAAACAAGACACACTGTCTAAACTGGATGACGATTGGAAGTGTTCTGTCCGTAAAGGGATGAGCGTGGTCTTGAATTAGATTGCGATAGATGATCTTGCTTTCTGCGTTAGCGGAAGGTGAGGGCAGTGCACATTCAGACAGTTGGAAAGCAAGACAGAAAAGACTTTTTATCATTGGGAGTGAGGGGTATAGAATGTGAAGGGGTTATTTTGAATATTTGAATGTAAATAAGAATAAATGCTTCAACGTCGTGCATATTGACAATGTTATATTATCACTCATTCGATAGACTTTATTAGTAAAGAATCAGTACAGATGTGTGTTTTGTATGTGTGTATGTATAGGATAAGAGGTAGTAATTTTTTTGACATATAGAATACTCGGGTACAGAGAGGAAACAAAAAAAACATTTACAGAGAAAATGAACGATATTATATTATCCACAGAATGATGATTCAACACAATTGTACAAACAAGAAAGCAAATACAAACACGATAGAAATAAAGCAAGATATACTATTTAACTGGTATTAGTTAGGAAGATTGATATTCGCAAAAATTTTTTTTTTGAAGTTTGGATTCTTCTCGCTCACGAGTAGACACTTCATACACAGACATTTCGATGCACTGGTTTGCAAGCCGACAGCTAGCGACGACAACGTTCTACCATGTGGTCAACCGAGATGCGGTTGTAGTTGATAATCGGCCATAGCCTAATAAAAGCAGCAATTATATGAATCAGACTACTCCAATACGAAATGATGTGTACCTATTCTATTACTTACCACAGGATTCATCATAGGATTAAGATCTGGTTCTTGTTGCGGTGATTGTTCCACTGTCACTTGTATATAAAACTCCTTCTCTAGTGTAATAACAATACCGGCATGGTGATAACTTGCTGACACTTTTATTGCTGCGCTTTGAGAGCTTAGAGCAGGAGTTCCTGTAATAATATTATTATCTGCATGCAACCAATCAGGAAGGCCTTCGAATGAAAATACAGCTTTAATCGCTATTAATAGAATTAATTTCAGTATGTCGAATTCGAATAAAAGCTTATACTTGACACATGATAGACTTACATTTAGCATTGACTTGTGGATCCCATACCCTGGGAGCATAAGCATATGGTACGCCCACATATGCATACTTGTCCGGCACACCCACGATTTTGCGCTTAAATTCTCTGAAAACCCATCCACCTGCCGGAGTCTTCTTTGCTTCAATATTCCATACATGATTGCCCTTACTCTTTGCTTTCTTACCATCTTCGTTAAATCGAGAAATGTACCGCTGATTCCAAAGGTAATTCTTAACTTTTCTCAGTGGCAATGCCTCTTCTGTATATCCTTGTCTTAACAACTCTTCATAAAAGGCATTAGTAAACGCTTGAATACGGAATTTAAATGGTCGGAAGTCAGGCGATTCGTCGAGCTTTTGCATTTTCTTGGCCATTAGAGTTTGATGACTGTAGGATGAAAAGGATGTAGTTAATTGATATAGCGTTACATCATGTAACAATACCAATTGCTTACATTTGTTCGCCCTTTGAGTCTTTTGCGTTTACTGTTTTATAAATGGCGAATTAGTTACGATACTTGTTAACGCCAATAGACAATGCACGATAAATACTTACAATCAGAGCATACTTGCTGTAAGAACTTCGTGAATATTTCATCTAGTTGAGCAACAAGTGTAGTCTCCAGAGGCGAATGTGCATGTGTGCGAGGCGTTGATGGGATAACTGTTCCGGTATTCGTTAGAGATGAGAGCGTCTAACGATCAGAAGATCATGTGAGAAAGTACAAATTTCAATTTCGTAAAATTATTCTGGAAAAATATGTAAAGAAAATTTACCGAATTATTATCTGAATGCATGAGCGTCCAAGTACTTACATTCATATGGTACATGTCGCTAGTAATTGTAGAAGCATCATCTACAACTGAACCAGTCTTCATTGATTTCTTGGGTCTCTCCGATTTCGTAGAAGCAGCACGCTGAAAAAAGCAAAATTCAATTATTAAAACAAGGATTAATAGACGGCCGTTATTCACACATATTTACACGAGTATGTTTCCCGACCTTGTTAGATTTTGATGCATGCGACATAATTGCATGTGCCTGTTGTTGTGCTGTTGTCCCTTGTTGTAAATGTAACCCAGACATCTGTCCCTGTGCTGCCATAAGCGCACTCGAACTCGACTGTGATGGAAACTAATTTGGTATAATGAAAGATTTCATGTATCCTCAACCGGATTTTATACACCAAAAAATTGCAATAGCTAAACCTAAACGACAAAATAAACTCGTAGCAATTGACACGACCAAAATTGAAGCTCAAGCAAAAAATAACGTATACCCTGATATTCTGTATATTTATGTTCGATAACAGACTTAGCCAAATTTACTTATTTTTAAGGGCATTTATAAAGAGTGGAAGAGGTATGAAACACAGGAATGGAGGACGATAACAGAATACTTACCAGTGCAGCGTATTTGCTTTTAAAATCTTTTAATACCGCTATGGTTTTGGTAATGTCTTCTAAACAGTTGAAAGCTTCTGGTTCAAAGCCACGCTCAAAGTTATCACGCGCTTCTTGAGCATTAAGAATAATGCTAATGGAAGACAAAGCGATGCATAAGTAGCTGTGATATCAACTCACAATAGGTAGGTGTGTTGTCTAGAGTCAACTTAGATCTATTCCCGAACGTCGAGGTCAGCACAGCATTCTTTGTTGTTCGACTGTCGCTTAGAGGAACATACTCGGACAATAGCCTGCGCTGTTATGTTTTTACGCAAAGTCCCCTCGCTCATCTCTGAGATGTATTTATACTGAAACGTTACCTCTCAAAAAGTTGGGTCAACTTCATTAATCTGTATGGGGTTCGTAGCTTTCGGGGTAGGGACGCTATGGCAAAAAGAAGGCCTCTTTGAAAGAGGGGAGGTGTGAGAAGGTTTTTACTTAAGTTTGAAAATATCCCGCAGGCATTATTTCAGGGGGGATATTAATATAATAAACCAATAATATTGAAGATGTTTGGGGTCGATCACATGAACGAGCATTAAGAGGATCCATTAGGGATATTCATATAAGGGTGGTAGGACTACCAACATTCAAGGATTCTTATTCTAATGTATGATGTCGAGAAGCGATATGATTAACCATCAAAAAGCATTGGCCCCAATGTCTTTGTATAGCACCACGTGTTCAATCTACTAACAAAATAAATGGTGTCAATTAAAAGAATTGCCTTAAAGATCGGGCAGACAAAAGTGTAATTGCTACACAGTAAAATACCATGTATCTATCGCCGAGAAAATTCGGGTTTACGCACCTCTGAAAGGCTCTTTACAAGCACTCGTTTTTGGCAGGCAGTGTTAATATTAAGTACTCAAAAAGTACGTACAATGAACTCCTGTTCTAGTCGGTCTATTTTAAATGTCGCCCAATTGAAATCGTTCGCTGCGTTTTGCAACCCTTCTAAAGGTTCATGTATGTCATGAACATATACCCTTTCGTAAGTTCAGATTACTCTTGTCATTCGAGCAGTCGTCCTATTTCTTGACGCCAGAAGCTGGGTTGTTTGCATTCTTTCATTAGGAATTGAAGTTTGGATGGCAAGCTTTTCTACCAGACCGATGATTGTCGAGTTAAATCAAGTTAGATCGGATCAAGCGTTAGCCTGACGCTAAAGAAACATTGGTTATATTTAGTCACGCCGATTCTCACCGTAGGCGTCTATTAAATCAATGGTCGTCGACAAAACACTCCCAAGCAGGTTAACGTATAAGCATCCAACGATGGCTATCTAGAGCTAGCAAGTCACAATCATCTTATTATTGCCATTGTCAAAGCTATCATCTACTTCAGGGATATATAATAGGATAAAACAGGCGTTTTTGCAGTTCAAAACATCAGAACTTGTTGGCCGAATGACAAGTCACGGAACACCTGACAAATATTTGGGGTATGCTGCAACAAACTACAAACTAATCGTTGCAAAAGTGAACATAACGCCACATATATTTCAGGGGTTCAAATCTTTGAACGCCACAGTTTCCCCTACTGCGTCAGCATGACACGATGCTTAATGCAAGTAACTTCTTTATTAACAAAAGGATCCCAAAGTGTATAATTATGATTCCGAACTGCTTCACCAGTAAATAATACGCCGACGCGAACACAAATTTACGTCCAAGAACTTTCGTTCAAACATTACTGCTAGGTTAGTTATAACATTTCGCGTAACACAAGTAATTATTGTTGCCGTGATTCCATACGTTTCTGAAGCTCGAACGAGACGCATAAAAAATCGTGTCTGATACACAGGCAAACTCGATAAGTCGGTCTCTCGCTGATTCAATTTTGGCCTAAGAAGGCCAAAACTTCCCAAGCCCTTTTCTCAGTTTTAATACAGTGCCGAACCTGCCGAGAAAGTCAGAAACGTTTTCGTAGACAATAGCTTCATTCAATGCAAGCCATTCAAATACCGATAACCATAATCTGATATATATCTCCCCGAAATTCTTTAACCGTTGCAAAATTTTGCTTATTATTATTGTTGTTAATATAGTAATGCTTATTGTAATATCGTTATCAATGAAAATTATTTAAAATTCAAAATCATTCAAAATTATGTAAACTCTCCTCAATGTATTTAAGAATTGCTGCTAAAACGTCTCCTGGTCGCCTTTACAACATATTTTCCATTTTTCCAGAGTCGACTTTCCAAAATGCCGATAACGCCGCCGCCACCACCAAAAAAGGGTTCTTCTATGCTCGGGTCTCTAGTATCAAGCAAAAAGATGATCTTGAACGCAGAAACAACTCCTCAGCTCCTGACTTCCAACCTACGAACTCATCAGCGATATTGGATCAGGTGTCAGCTTTAAACGACCGGGACTTAAGGCCTTATTGGAACCGGAATGGTCTCAGAAATTGTGGTTACCCACTGTGACCGACTCGGCTGCTTTGCCTTCGACTTTATCCAGTAAATACTCTCCCTCTATACTACAAAACTCGTGGTTCTCTTCAACAATGTGACCTCCGATGAGCACGAACTTTCCCAAAATACCTTGCAATCAACAGTCTTTATCTGAATGCAAGGAAGAAGAGCTGCTATTCACCGACGAGAACGCCAAACTAGGGGGAAAAGCGCAAGACAAACATCAGGACAATATCAGCACGCAGCACTTGGAAATCATTAATCAAAGTGTATCCAAATCACCTTCAAAAGCAGCTATTGAAATGGTGGATGGGCTTGACGAGATATGCTTATAATGCAGTTGTCCGCTGGAGTCATACAAAAGATTCACATATTGGTCCATCACAACGGGTTTGGGTAAAATCTCAACCTATTAAAGATAAGCTTAAACTTTACACAGATGTTAATGAACGTGATGACAAGAGACTTCAAAAATCATTATGAAGCATTAACTGCTAGGTATGATTGTTATTTTTCGATTTTTTTTTTTGTTTTGATTTTTATTTAATTACGAACTTGTACAGTCCCCGGCGAAAATAATGGCAGCCAGTATTATTTTAATATATCAATTTAACAAATTTTTTATTTAACAGAAGTTCAAGACTAATACTATAATTGCAAAAAAACCAAGATAAAAAGTGGCTTCCTTTTAGATCTATATTAATTTAAACCTAAATTTATTAAAATTTTGAGCAAGTTGACAAGAAGCAATGTAAAAACTTTTTACATTAACAGATTAGACAAAAATTATATTTTTCGATTTGTAATCTTCTAAATTTAATTAGCAAGTCTAAACACGCGAATATAGATTTAATATTAAGACAGTTATAGTCAATCCAAATCTCGCTGAAATTATTAAAATGCAAATATAAAGACAAGAATATTTTTAATCATGCCTGACAAAAGTAATAATACATTTACAAATAACCGATTTTTGTAAAAACGATTGTCACAGCCATTATTTCGCCGGGGACTGTAATTAACCATAATATGGATCAACCACGAATCAGCAAGGTTCGTCTTTGTCATTTCGATCTCGAAAAGATTTATAATAATTCGTGTGCAGAATTTTCAAAATCCACGTGGAACCGTTTTATATCACCTATTCC